CCTGTGGTCGGAACACGTGGCAAGCCACTTCAACCACTAATCTCTCAGAAGAATAATTTGAGTTTTCTCAAATTCTCTGGGATTAGTGTTGAAGTGGCTTGCTCTGAAATGGTATGAGACAAACAGAGAATAAGTTGTATTATTTAACTGCTGTAACATGTAACAGCAAAAATGTTCATTCTTTTGTATTTCAGGTTGAGACTTTTATTGATTTTTTTTTTTTTTTTTTTTTTGTGAATGCTCTGGTGCACGAGGACGCTAGTTTAAAACTTGTACATGACTTTCAGGAATTTTAGTTTTCCAGCCTGGTAAAGGCAGAAGTGAACAGCTTCTATCTTTAGAAAACCTGTAAGACTAATTTTTTGTGAGTAGACCTGCTTACAGAACTCCCTTTTCACAGTTTCCCCCATGTAAGTTTCATCTTTCTTTCAACTTCAATTTTCTTGGGTTCTGAATGAAACCTCTTGTCTAGCTCTTTTTTTTTTCCCTGAAAATTTTAAGCAGAATTGTAGAGCTGTCCTAAATTTAAAGGTGAAGTTGGTGTTTTGTCATAAACAGTTCTGTCACTTCCCTTCATGCAGGCACTGACCTCAGTAGACAAGCTCAAAAGGTTTGTCTGATTTGTATCTGGCACAGACTAGAGACTCCAGAAGATCAACTAAATATTTCGTCAGTAACTGGGTTTGTGTTTTCTGAGGGAGGAGGCTGGTGGAATAAAAAAGTGTCTTCCTTCAGAAAATGAAAGTCGATTGGTCCCATGTTTTCCTTGTACTATTATGGTGGGATTTCAGCCTAGTCCTAACAATATCTACTCCTGTGTGAAATCTTTGTTCTGGCAAGTTTTCTTATAACTAAAAGTTAAGTCCAGTTCCCTTTCTGAGTCTCTGATTTAAAGTGCATAGAAATTACAGGCTGTAAATTCCAATTAGCTATATTTTATAGACTAAGCACATTACCTGTGTAGGAGCTCTGCTGCAGAGTCTGGCAATCTATTATTATGTTTCCTTGTATCAGTCAGAAATGTTATCAGAGCGGAGATCCTAGAGATGTACGAATACCTGTGGAGCCTGAAACTTTCCTATAACTGCTGTTGGCTAGAAATACCAGTGATAACAGCAGTAAAAAAAGAAAATTGCGTTCTAATATATATAACTGGAGAACATCAATATATCTTGTCAATAGACTGTATTAGAAGCTAGCTTTCAACAACACTCCCATTTTCCATATTCAAACATTACTTTTCCTGAGGGACTCCTCATCCTTGCACTGAAAGTAACTTAAACCCAGGAACACACAGAGCTTGCTGTTCAGCCTGACGTTTATTGCCTGTGCTGTTAAGGGCTAGGTGCTGTAGCATCTGATTTTATTATGCAGTTCTCTCACACTAAGCTGAATACATTAATATTTTGTTGCATATTTAATTGGCTCAGTGATAGGAGACACCCTGAATGCTTTAACAAAGTAATTAAGTTGCATTTTCCATTGGGCACATGGTGTACAGTTGTAGTGTTAATTAGATTGGTATTATTCCTTCAAATATTATTTTAGTTACAGAATATGCAAATAGTTGTTGTTAGTAATGCATCATGCTTAGTGATAGTTTGAAAATAATTGAAATATGTTGTTCTGTACTTTTAGGGACCTGATCTTCATTTGGAGTAAACTGCAGCTTAAATCTAACCCATCAAAACAAGTATTTGTCGACCAGTGCTACCAGCTTTTAAGAATTGCTACAAATGTCAGAGTAATTTTCCCTTTCATGAAAGTCATTAAGGATGAAGTAAGTTTTGGTTTTTTTACCCCACCCCCCCATTCTTTTTGTAACTAGTTAAAGTAAAGAGAAGTGATGTTTATATTGTGTAAAGGCCACTTTTTGTGGAAAGTTAAGAGGGGGTAGGGAAGGACGCAATATTATCTGAAAAATTTTGTCAAATTCCTGAATGCGCTTCAATATTATAATTACCCTTGATATGTTGTGGGTCTGTAAGATTTTTTTTTTTCACTGAATTCTGAGTTTTTCTGTCTGCAGTAAGTTTGAGGAATGTCATTCTCTATAAATAAATAGGGAAATTAATAATAAATATGTGGAGTAAAGGTGAAAGATACGTCAGGTGTTGGGTTTTTTTTAAGCTTGGCTCCTTAAGGAAATAGGACTTGTATAATGCCATTGTATCTGCCTTTCACCCTTGTTAAGTTCTGAATTCCTTCATCAGTTCTAATCAAATCTGAAGAAATGCTTAATGTAACATAAAGGAAAAGCTAGACTAAGATAGAAGACATAATTTTGTTTCAGAAGTGCTCTGTGTTTCATGCTTCAGATGTTAGTCTTATACTGTCCTATACAGACATCTGCAAAAGATGTAATGTGCAATGCTTCGCACACAAGAACGCAAGTTGTTTCCAAACCAGTGTTGGTTTTTTATCATTAACCTGACTGAAGAGAGTTCCTTCGTATTCTATGTCCTAAATGAATTATAAATTGTTTTGTCATGGGTGCTGCTATACAGTTTGAAATGCAATGATTTGCAGCTGTTCAAGATTTTAATCTCAGGATGTATTCTAAAATACTTGTGGTAACATGGATGATTTTTATTTGTATTTGCATCTGAATGAGCGTATTTTTCTAATAGCCCACTACATATGGAGCATTGTATGTATTTGTTAACACACATTTAAATATAAGTAGGTATTAATTATTTCTAAACTTCCTGAAACTCTTTACTTTAATCTGCTACCTCTTGTGCAGTATGTTTCTGATCATGCCTCCAAATTACACGTTCATGCCTGGGCCCCCAGCCTAAAGTGTGGAATAGTGCCCACTGGAGGGATAGTTTGTCAGTTCTGAAAAGTCAAGCCTTTCAGAGTGCTTGGCCATTGGTTGTTATGGTTTTCCTGGTGGTCATTGTTCAAAATTGAGGGCAGTGTTTTATAGCTTGTGTTTTTATGCAATCCAAGTTAAATGAGTTAGAACAGGGACAAAATATAGAGTAACTGTCCAGTTATAGTGTGAAAGAGCCTAGGAAATGAAGAAGAAGACAGAAGATAGTGCTAGATTAGATATGATTTGCTGCAGTCTTCTTTTATATCCCCAAATAATTGTCTTTAGCTATAGAACTGCACATGGCAAAAGTATCTGAAGCTTTGTGGACAGTAGCTATATAGCTTTCAGTGCAAACCAGATGTTATTTTTGAGCATTTTTGTATCTATATTTTTTTAGTCTTGTTTGAGCATTATTTTTAAATGTACATGCTGTTAGGTGAAGTTTACTAGCAGCATGCTTTCTGAACTCCTAACTGTTTTGCAAATAGATGAATATAAATGCATGGGTTGTTGATGTTTGGGCATTGTTTACACTAGTTCTTTTTTTTCCTATGGGTTTGATTTTTTTTTATTCTACTTTCAAGCTGTAGACTTTTGTAAGCCCACAATAAAAATACCCATTATGCATACTCCATAATTATGCACACTGTAATTTCCTTTCTGCAGGTTGGTGAAGATGGTCTTCAGATATGTGTTGAGATATGTGGATGTGCCCTACAGTTGGACCTCCGTGAAGATCCCAACATGAAAAGTCTTATTTATAAAGCAATTGCTCATTTTCTGCCAAATGACTTGGAGATCCTCAGAATTTGTGCTCTTTCAATCTTTTTTCTTGAGCGCACTTTGGAATCTTACTACACTGTTGAACACTTATATAAATGTGCAGATGAAGAATACAATGAGTGCACTAGTTCTGTTCAAAACCGTGTACGTTTTGAATTGCTTCCAATTTTGAAAAAAGGTTTGTTTTTTGATCCTGAGTTTTGGAATTTCTTGATGATCAAGCAGAATTGTTTAGCATTATTGGGGGATAAAGCCTTCATTGGCTTAAGTGAAAGTACACTGGAGAACTCTACTGCAAATACAGAGAAGATAACAGAGTATAGGGCTCTGACTGAGGAACATGTCTGTTTAACAGATGTAAGCAATGGGGAGCTTGACCCTGAAGACCTCTCTGCAGCCCAGTCCAAAGGTAATGCCAAAAAGAACCATGAAGCTCTTGAGGCATCTAAAATGTTAGATCAAACTGTACCAAGGCACCGCTGTGTGATATGCAACAGGGAATTTCTTGGTGGTCACATTGTGAAACATGCACAAGCTCACCAAAAAAAGGGCAGTTTTTCCTGTGTACTTTGCACCAGAAAGTTCAGGCAAAGAGGACTTATGCTGAAGCACTTAAAGAATCACGTCAGGAAGATAGAAAGGCAACATCTTGCTGCAGTTCTTGAGGCTGATCAGCAGGCTCCTGCTCTTAATGAACTAGAATGTTCTGATGTTTCTCTGTCTCTTGAAAATGGGAACTCTGATGGTTCCAAAGATAAAGAACCAGAGACTGCAATAGCTCCAAGTGCTGACCAAGTGGTCCAAGTGGAGGAGGAGAATGCAGAACAGGTATTTGATGCGGTGGAAAACCATGTAAGTGACCAGGATGATGCTACTGAAAATAGTAGTGACAGCTGTTTTAATAATATTCCTGATGCTTTGAGTGCAGAAAGTTTGCCCGAAGATGAGAGCTCCAATAAAGAGTCACCTATTCTGCATAAAGTGAATGGAGCTTTTTGCCCTCAAAAAGACATTGATGCTATGGATGAGGAAGGAAGCTTTAAGTGCCCTGCTAATGGTTGTGCTAGAGTGTTTAAAAAGATAAGATTCCTCAATAAACACGCAAGAAAAGCTCATCCGACTGATTTGAAGGTGCAGCAGCATATAATGAAATGGAATAAAGGAAAATGCCGGTTCTGCCAGAGAAAATTTGCTGATTCCCAACATTTTATAGACCACCTGAAGAGACATGTGTATCCAAATGTTTACTTTTGTTTACAATTTAATTGTAATCAGAGATTTAAGCTTTCAACTGAGCTTGCAGAACATACAAAAAGTCATACTGTTTTTAAAGCTCAATGCAATTTTGCAGAGTGCTGTGAGCTATTTGAGGAGCTCCCTTTGCTATATGAACATGAGGCTCAGCATTATTTAAATAAAACACCAGAATGTTCAGAAGATGCAAGCGAAAAGGATTCTTCAGATGATCCTTCAGAACTTTGTAGTTACCAAGATGATGATGAATCTATTCATGAAAATGAAACTGTAGATTTACCAATTCCAACTTGGAAATCAAGGAAGGATTCTACAGAACCAAAGACATATATTCAAAGTGTTGAGAAGAAAGCAAATAATGTAATTCACAATGGAAATGAAAGTTCATCTGAGAGTAGCACTACAGTTTTAAATTTGATAGACCAAAAGACGCCTGTGTTACAGCCAGATTCTGAAAACTGTAATGTTGTTAGTGACCAACTAGTCAATGGGCACAGTGACCTAGATCAGACATCAAAGTCATCAGAAATACCTTTGGACAGAGTGGCAGATGAAACAAGGACAGAAAATGGGTCAGTGTTACCAGTTTTACAGAATTGTCATGATATACCACAAAATAATGCTGCTGCCTCGCAATTACCTTCTAAACCAAATCCGACAACAGAGAATACTTCATATGGTGTCATCTTAACAAAACCGTATGTTAGACCCTTGCCTCCAAGTTATCTTGATGAACGATACATTAGCATGCCAAAACGTAGAAAAATTTTGACTGATGAAGTAGATGCTCATTCTGAACAAGACAAATTTTGTAGCAAATCAACAGAAAGATTTAGATGTGGCAACTGCTTGACCATCTACTGTAATTCAGAAGCACTTGAGGCTCACCTTGCACAAAAGAAGTGTCAGACGCTGTTTGGATTCGATTCAGATGACGAAAGTAAGTCTTACAGTCCTTCTGGGTTATTTTTTTTGGAGGTAAATACCAGCCAAAAAACCAGGCAATCTGGTCTTTGAAAACAGGCAATCTGATAGAATAGGTAAGACAGGACTTCTAAGCAATTGTAGTGTGCTAGAACTTAAACAATTAAATCACAGTACTGTGCTAAATTGGAAGTTCAAATTGGACGTGTTTAGAATAAGAAAGAGGTGGTGAGAACTGTTAGGCAACTCTAATGGAAAAGACTTCTTGTAGAACAGAAGGGGGTAATTCGGTCTGTCTTTCCTTGCATGTTTGAAACTAACAGTGTTGAAAAACATAAGCAGTGTTCTAGATTAAAGAATGATTTACATTGGTTAGTCTTCGTTTTGATCCCAGTGCATTCTTTTTTACAGGTGCCTGATTCAATGTTGTGGGAAAATGTCTCAAACGAGGAGTGGTGTAAGAAAACACTACACGAAGAAGCATCAGTTTGTTTCCCAGTTGGCCTTAATCATAAAGCAGTCTCAAATTACTAAAGAAAAACATGACCTTGATAAAGACAAAGCACATTTTCTAGACAAAGCTCACAGAGGAATACTAGGAGCTCTGCAGGTCTTGAGTCCAGAAAGGTTGCTACAAAATCCCCAAAGTACCAGTTATCCAAAAAGCCACATTCATTCCAAATGTGTGATTGAAGCTTAGCGGCATAGTCTTTCTAGCATGAAGGTTTCAGGAAAATGAGGCATACAGTTGAGCAGGCAGAGAAAGCAGAGGTGTTAATTGCCTTATGGAAATAAAACCAGCCAATTCTGAAAGCTGCTTTAGTTGGAAAATGCGTGGTTAAAGGATATCAATCCACACAGCTGCGAAAGAGTCATTCAAGAGGATGTTACTTTATTATAATATGGATAAGAAATGTGTAGAGCAGCCATGCATTCTTTTTTCAAAGTTTGAGTATGTGATTCCATTGTCTGTTCAAAAGCATGGAGCTCATTTAATAAACCTATACTCGGAATCCAAAAAGAGGAATGTAGAAAGAAATCTAAGATGGAGCGCTTGAATAGCCAAAAACTTGGGAGTATGCAAGGAAAAGTGAATTGGTGCGATATTAAGTGTGAAAGTTACGCAGTGGAAATCAGATGCATGCAAGAGAAGCCCTTTTCAAGGCTATGGTAAACATGTATGTTGAGTGTCCTGTAAAACATCTCTTGTAGGTGCAGAAAGACTAAGCCAGGTGGTACATGCAGAGATTGTGTGGGTATTAACAGAAGCAGATTGAACAAATACAGAATGTGAGGGGGGTTAAGCTTGCATCACAGGGCAGAGTTAAACTAGTTTTATGCAAACACAGAGGTCCTTCAGCTGTTGGTATGACTGAAAAGAACTTGAGATGGCTTCCTGTTTAAAAAAAAACCAAAAGTTAGAAGGCAGACAAAAGCAGAGCATATGTCAAGTTGACAAAAAAAGATCAGGAAGAGCCTGTTTCACATATGTGATATTGCTTAATGGTGGTAGGTCACAACTCACTACTGTAACTACTTATTTACTGTCTAGAGGAGGGGAGAAAATATCTATCGATTCAACTTTATGATGTATTACAACCTTATCTAGTAGCATCTCTTGAAAAGATAGCCTTTCCCAGAAGTTGGTGAAGGAATTAGACTTAAATGTTAAGCACTTTATCCAAAATTCACTGTTCATAGAAACAATCAGAATGTGAAGACAGGAAATTTGAGTCATTCAGCTCTGTATGTAAAATTGAAATACAGGATGTTTGGAAACCAAAAAGATGCTGTTGTAGTTTTTGGTTTTCCCACCCCAAACAGGTGTGGCAAACATGCACATTTGTCTCATTACTGTGCTAATTTATCCTCTAATTTATCTTATACTGTCTTGCCACCTAGAAATGCTTGATTTGGGATCCTGGTCTATGCAGGTAGCTGTAAATTTTAATGTGATTGTAGGCATGGAAGGTATAGTGGTGAAAACTGGTGTGTACAGATGGAGTCATCACAGAAGTGCAGGATAGCAGAGACCAACTGTTCCTGCTCAGCGAGTTTGCTTACTAAATAGTTCATTACAATGTGCCTATGGCATAATAAGATGATCAACTTGCTTAAATCAACAGATATGTAAAAACTAATGAGTAAAAAATCAAGAGGTACATAAAAGATCTGTTCCTTGTAGCAATGGCTCACACTTGCAAACCTAAGGGTTGCATTGTAAAATAGGCTGTTAAGTAGTTCTGGAACTTAATAGTTCAGTAATGCCTCTGCTAATAATCCTCTGTGAAATTAAACAGTTACTTGCATTAATTCTACTTTCCTGGGAGGTAAAAAGAATGCAAATTCAAAATCATGCTCTTTTGAATTCTAGAAAATCTTTGCCTTAACTTTGAGTTGGATTAATGTAAAAGGTTATAAAATTATGATCACAGGTATGTGTGCATTACATTAATACTGATGCCTGGCCCACTTTCAGAGATTTGTATGACATTTGAGGCACCAAAGAATTTTTTTGCAGTTGCAAAAAAACCTGATTTAAATACATCACTCATTATGTATACATATATACACACACTATATATATATATTTACATATATAAATACATTAAAAGTTTTTAAACATAAAATTAATGGGGACCTTATCAGCCAAATGCACTTTCACATTTTTTGCTTTCAAGTTACCAACTAATTTTTAAGGACCCAGTTATCATCTTGAATGTTCCCAGGCTCCCCTTTCTTTGCTTAACGTTGTTAATCGAGTTAAATTTGCTTAAATATATTTGGAGGAAAAAAAAAGGTTAAAGTATTACAGTTTTAAAAATCTGAAAACTCAGTCAATAGATATGACAAAAATGTTTGTGTAAAGTCTTTTAAATGTACTTTTAATCTTTGGTGCTTTTTTTGCCTTTTCCTGGAGCTCCATGTGCTTGAAGATGCTTTAAAAACATGATTGAGACTTGTATTTTCTTTGGTTTAAGTGTGTAGATAAATGCATCTATGTAAATGCATAAACTGTGACCATAATTTTTTGTACCTGCATTAAACTCATTTTTGTTCAAAGATGCTTTTCTCGGACACCACCATTTGTTTATGCCATGTGTTTTCAGTATATACACTTTGGAGAACTGGAAAACTGAATTCTTGTGTAGGTGAACATAAGCATCACCTAACACCTATCAGAAATATGCTAAATTGACTTAAAAGTAGCAAGTGGGTGGTAACATTTTTGGTTTAAGTAATGATTTTTACTTCAAAAGACATTGCATTTTCTTTAAACTACTCTGATACCTGTTGATATTCTCAGATAGCTGCAGTATTAAGCAACTTTAGTAGCAAAACGATGTTTGTAATGTGTGGGGGATAATTCTACATGCTTTTCAAGGATTCTTTAGTATGTTGAGTATTACCTTGTACGAAGCCTGCAACTTCTAGGGTTGAAAAAGGTTCCAAATCTAGAATCGAAAGGTGGTTGGTTTTTTCCCCAGGCATTAAGCATATAATGATATAATTGGAAATACCTCTTCAAGATGTATCACTTTGATTCAATAAATACTGAAGTACATGTGTAACGGAAGCATGCAAATACCTTAAAGCTGCCTGAAGTTATACATGAGCTTAGGAGCTTTGTTGGATCAAAGTTTGTGCATTTCACTGCTGATGATCGTATCCTAATAACGTTCCTCCTGGTGGCTATAACTTGGATTTAGACTTTCCTTTTAAGGCTGTCTAACCTGATCAGAGTTCACTGTGAAGGTCATGTAAGTTCTAATTTTCAGAGAGTTGCCGCTTGGTAGGCATCTTTCACAAAAAAAGAAATACTGAAAGTAGGTTGAAAGTGGTCATATCTGTGGGGAAAGGTCACTGGTACTTTGGTTATTTAGCCATATTCGTTAAAACTATATAAATTGTATAGTTTGGATAATTTATAACATTAAACTTTGTGATTTTAATATCACATTGAAGGTTCAGCTGTACTCATTTCTTTTCTTGTTTAACACCGGTGGTATGGACAAAAGACTCAAAGGGGGTGGTAGTGTTACTATTTTCTTAATTTATTTGGTACTGTATAACACCTTTTGATTAAATGCAGTGTATGCATTTTGGGACTCTTAATTTGTAAAAGCTGTTACAGGTTCAGCAAGAAAGGAGATTTGTGCTTCCTTGTTGAATGTTAAATTATTTTACTTTGCATTTTATATAAGAGTACAAATTAAAACTGAGCCATCAAACTGCAATAAATCAACAGTAGTGTTTCATTTTAAAAACTTTTTTGTACTGTACATAGATTTGTTCAATAAAACATTGTCTTTGTTGTTGATAGAAACTGATCTTGTCTTTTGGGGAATCGCTCTGAAAATACTGCTGCAATGTCTATAGTTATTGTGTTAGGTTTGGTATATGATTGTTGCACAGCACCTGTGTAGAGCTGCCAGGTCTTGATGTTCCAGGTGTGTGGATATTTGGATTTGACTTAATCTATTCAAGTATATCCAAGAATATCCAGGATTACCAAAGATTTTTTCCCCCCCTTTTTCTTCCTTCTAGCTCATTACCTGTTCTGGTAAATTTGAGACCTCTTAGTTAAATAAGTCTTTTAAAAGTCATAGTATTATTACAGATTCTTTACAACTAGATAACTGGTGAAGAAAGCAGCATGTGTCTGTGTGAGGGAGAAGAATAGCTTTTTTGGTCATCAATCTGAGATGTGTGAAGAACACACCTACTGCAGAAAAAGCTTCCATCAGCATTTGAAGCTGAGACGCCCAGCAATTCACTCCTCAGGTTTGACTGGCTCTAACCATCTTCAAACCACTGCCAACTTTAAGATCATTTATTTCAATAGTCGGCCACATGCACTGGGAACCAGACTTTGTCATTAGTGCATACGCCTTTGGAATTTACAAGCATCGCATATCGTTCAGATGGCATGCTCCCCGATAAAGGGACTCGATCGGGACTCAAGGGGAAATGGGAACATGCTCAGTGGTCAGCCCAGATCTTGGGGGCAGGACAGGCCCGTGAAGTTTCTGAGCTGATGGTGGAGGGCTCGTGTGGTGGCTTTTAACATGCAGGTGGAGAACGGCATAGGGCTGGCAGGGCAGAGACTGAGGTAGTAGCGGCTGGAAGGAATATACCAAAGCTTGCAAGGTAAAGTTGTATATTGTGTCTACAGAAACCTACAGACCCACGTTCATTTTAGTGGCTTGTATGGTGTTTACACCTGGAGGACGACGACTTCAAACTACAGTGGATGTTAACCGCTCTGAAGCAAATGTGTAGGGCTCAAAAGCCAAACTTGATGCCGCAACCAGGTCTGGATGCAGCAGTTTTAAGATACCTCTGCTTCTAGTTGTTTGTTTTTCTCCAGCATAAAATTGTTAAAGTTCTCCAACGGCCCTGCATTACAAGTACCAAATGCTGACCTAGACCTCTTAGGAAGATTGGTTGGCGCTAATACCTAGAGCGGAGCCTCAGTTGTTGCACTTCATGAGCGTAATAGAGATAGTAATCTCTAGTGTGATACACTTGTTTCCATTGCTTTC